GCACAGAACCACGGGCAGGTTGAGGGTTGGACCTCAGAGCTGAGACCAGCCCGTGGTTTGGTAACTGCTGGGGGAAGGGTTGGAGACACCACGCTCCAGTCTGGGCAACCATCACACACCAACACCCTGTCAGCAAACAGCTGCACGGCAGAGTGAGCCCCAGCTGGACTTGGTGCTCCCCAGGCAGAGACACCCCTGCCAAAAATACACCCCAGTGAGGGCTGCCCTGCCCAGTCAGAGGGAAAGCAGATCAAGACCAAAACACTTTTTAAGCAAAACTGTTGGAACTCCCCCAGGTTCCATTTCAGGTCTTCCCCATAAAGGCTCCCACAGCAAAGCCAGTTCCTGCCCTCCCTCCCAAAGTGGCAGCTGAGTCCCAGCTCAGAGAGGAGTGGTGCAGGAGCCAGGTCTGGCACAGATGCAGAAATCCTCCCATCACAAACCCTCTCAACACCCCCGACCTCAGCACTACCCAAATACCTGGTGTATGAACCCTCATCCACAGCCAGCAGAGCAGCAGCAGAAGACCCGAGGCTGGAGTATACATTGGCAGGGCAGGGGGGAGCAAATCCCACCCAGGGAATGTCCCTGGCACAGCATTTCTCCTGCCCAAAGCCGCCTCGCCGGGAGCGGAGGTGCCCGACCAGCACATGGCACTGGCTGAGGGCAGAGATACAGCTCTGAAAGCACTTTTTCCAACAAAGCTTTTGTTATTAAAGAGATGTTAAAAATAAATAAATTAGCTGTTGACTTATTGTCCCCCCGGGAGGGGATTCAGCAGCACAGCACGGGGATGGTTCGGCAGGGAATCATATCCAGGCTGCTCCGACCTGCTCTAGAGAACATCCCCCAGAGAGCTGCCTGCAAGGACACAGCAGCTGCAATGGTTTCACTGGCCAGACTGGACCTGCCCGTGGTCTCCCTGTGTGCAAGTGCCAGGCAATGAAAACACACTGAGCCAGACCTGTTTGTTGATACCTGGCTGCCCCCGGTGGGAACAAAACATCGACCGGCCGCATTTGGGTGAATTCCTCACTGCCCAGAGTGCTTTACCTTCAAGAAACCTCCCAGCAAACTTGCCCCAGCAGAATGCTGCTGTTTGCCTCTGAGGAAACTCCAGCCACCTTGTTGACTGGAACAGGGCTGAAGCAAAGTCCCATTTATTCCTGCCAAAAATATCTCGAACCGAGAGACAAGGCAAGGCTGCGGGAGGTGGGAACGTGCAGCCTGAAGGAGAAAGGGAGGGAAGGATCCAACTGCTGTCCTGATGGGTGAAGAGCAGTCAGCCCCCTCTGGGACACACACAGCAAAGGGACAGGAGGGAACAGGTAAGAGATGCAGAGGGAAAAATTATTCCCCCTGGGAGTGACCAAACCCTGCACCCGGCACCCAGAAAAGCTGAGAAATCTCCAGCAAGATGTTCAGAACTCAGCAGGGCTGGTCCTGAGCCAGCTGGGACAACTTTAAAGCCCGTCCAGCTTTGAGCAGGTTTGGAGCAGAGCCCTCCAGGGTCCTCTCCAATCCCAGCTCTTCTGCAATGCTAATTTTCTCCCCCAGACCTCAGCAGTTCAGATTTCGGCAGCTCAACAAACACAACTCAAGGAGGCGAGGGGGGGACACCCAGCCCTGCCAAGGCCTGGAGTGGAGTGTCCAAAGCAGATACCTAAAGGGAATGTTTGCAATCCCGTTGGAATACCACTGTTCCCTGGGACAGGCAGTGGCCAGAGCTTCCCCTGCTTCCAGCAGAGCTGCACAAACAGGACATGGTTATCTTGTAAAAACGTTTGTTTGTGTTTTTAAACCCACCCCTCCGGTGTTACAGGGAGATCACCGGCCCATGGAATGGGATCCAAGCAGATATTTCCACGTCCTGCCTCCCGCCAGCAGCTTCTCCCCAAACACAGAGCATTCCACGGAGAGCTCAGAGCACAGCTGGGCTTTGCTCTGACTTTGTTCCCCATCACACCTTTCCCTTTCAAATCCCTCCCAACACAAGGCACAGGGAACCTGCCTCAGGAAAAACTCGGCTCGCAGGGAAAGGCTCAGCCTCTCCCGGCTTCTCCAGTCGCTATCACTGGCTGCCAGAAGAGTTTCAGTGCCCAGGCAGATGGTCTGCAGCTGAGCCTGCCCTCCCTGGCATAGCCTAGAGGCTGCCCTGCTTCCAACCTCATCTCAGAGCAGTTCCTGACATACAGAAGTAGCTCCAAGCCTCTTCAGTGGGAGACATTCCCACAGGGGCAGCCTGGGCTGGTCCCACCCCGCACACAGGAAAAAATCCTTATCCAGGATGCCCAGGGACACTCCTGAAGTCCCTTTTTTGCCTTCCAAGTGTAGAATAATACATATCTGTGGAGTGGTTTCTCCTCAGATGAATTCAAATCCTTTCCTCCTGTTTTGACTGGGAACTCCTAAAAGCTCTGAGGTGCTGCAATGACTAAGAGACAGAGTAAGGAGGTAAATAAAGTAGGTGAGAATTATTTCACTGGCTTCAATCATCTGGAGAAATCATTTGCATCCCTGAGAACATCCTCTAACA